CTTGAGTTCCACCCGGATGACTGAGCTTCTCAGCCTATCTCTAAGGGAGAGCCCAGACACCCTGCAGAGGAAACTCATTTCAGCTGCTTGTATCCGTGATCTTGTTCTTTCGGTCACTACGCAAAGTTCGTGACCATAGATGAGGGTAGGAACGTAGACCGACCGGTAAACCGAGAGCTTCGCCTTCTGGCTCAGCTCTCTTCACCACGACAGACCGGTACAACACCCACATCACTGCAGACGCAGCGCCAATCCACCTGTCGATCTCTTGCTCCATTCTTCCCTCATTCATGAACAAGACCCCGAGATACTTAAACTCCTCCACTTGGGGCAGGACCTCCTCCCCGACGCAGAGAAGGCACCCTACCTTTTTCCAGCTCAAGACCATGGTCTCGGATTTGGAGGCAATAATCCTCGTCCTGGCAGCTTCACACTCGGCTGTGAACCGCTCCAGTGAGAGCTGGATATCAGGATCTGATGAAGCCAATAGGACCACATCATCCACAAAAAGCAGAGATGTGATCCTGAGGTCTCCAAAAAGGATCCCCTCAACACCTTGGCTGTGCCTAGTCCATAAAAATTATGAACAGAATCGGTGACAAAGGGCAACCTTGGCGGAGTCCAGCTCTCACCAGAAAAGAGTCCGACTTACTACCAGTAATGTGGACCAAACTCTGTCACCGGTCGTACAGGGACCTAACAGCCCGTATCAACAGGCCTGGTACCCCATACTCCCAGAGTACCCCCCACAGGAGTCCCCGAGGGACACGGTCTAACGCCTTCTCCAAGTCCACAAAACACATATAGACTGGTTGAGCAAACTCCCATGCACCCTCCAGGACCCTGTTGAGAGTGTAGAGCTGGTCCACTGTTCCAAGACCAGGACCAAAACCACACTGCTCTTCCTGAATCCAAGATTCGACTATCCAACGGACCCGCTCTCCAGGACCCCTGAATAGACCTTACCAAGGAGGCTTAGAATGTGATCCCCCTATAGTTGGAACACACTCTGCGGTCTTTCTTTTTAAATAGGGGGACCACCATCCAGGTCTGCCAATCCATGGGAACTGCCCCTGATGTCCACGCAATATTGTAGAGTCGCTTCAACCAATGCAACCCCACAACATCCAGGGCTTTAAGGAACTACGGGCTAATCTAATCCACCCCCGGCACGTTGTTTTTTTGTTGTTGTTTTTTTTGACCAAAGATTAAATTTCATTTATCTTTTCTTGGTCAGAATCCTTCTAAATGCTCCCATACACTTCTAAAAACAGGTTAATAGGCTGCTAATGGACCAACAAGTTAACAGGCAGCTAATGGACTAACAAAGTATTTTGGGATTTGTTTGCATTATACTGTATGCTCAAGCAGCTAACTAATGGGCTAACATTATAACATCAAACAACTTAACAGGCAGCTAACATGCTAAGGCCTGAGTGACCCATTGAAACCCATTATAAATGTATGTTCTTATGCATTCTTTTGGTCTACAGGGGACTGTTCCAGACGGGCAAGTGGACTCCAGCACCCAGGATGCCCGAGCAGAGTAACGACTATCGAGTGGTGGTGTTCGGCGCTGGTGGGGTGGGGAAGAGTTCGCTCGTTCTCCGGTTCGTCAAAGGCACCTTTAGAGACACCTACATCCCCACGGTGGAGGACACCTACAGACAGGTGGGACACAACCTGGTCGTTTCAGACCGTTTAAGACCTGGAACCAGCTGATGAATCTCTGCCCACCTGTCTCTGCAGGTGATCAGCTGCGACAAGAGCGTCTGCACGCTGCAGATCACTGACACGACAGGAAGTCACCAGTTTCCCGCCATGCAGCGCTTGTCCATCTCCAAAGGCCACGCCTTCATCCTGGTCTACTCCATCACCAGCCGCCAATCACTGGAGGAGCTCAAACCCATCTACCAGCAGGTCCAAAGCCTCGGTGTGGAGGTTTTAGCTGCGTCCGATCACAGAACCTGTTTTAACTTGTTCGATCTTTGCAGATTCTGGCCATCAAAAGCAGCGTGGAATCCATTCCCATCATGCTCGTGGGCAACAAGAGCGATGAGACGGCCCAGCGGGAGGTGGAGACGAAGGTGGGGGAAACGCAGGCCGCCGCCTGGAAGTGCGCCTTCATGGAGACGTCGGCCAAAACGAACAGCAACGTGAAGGAGCTGTTCCAGGAGCTGCTGGCGCTGGAGAAGAAGAGGGACATGAGCCTGAGCATCGACGGGAAACGCTCGGGGAAACAGAAACGGGCCGACAAGCTGAAGGGGAAGTGYGTGGTCATGTAGAGGCGGGGCTAACGGCTGAACTTCGAAGCCTTAAAGAACAAAACGCTCAGAGTGGCTGAAACATTCAAACTCTGAACATTTGATTGTGTTTGTGGATCTGTCATACATACAAAGGGAACCCTGACTCGTAACATTAATGGATAAATATTTGTTTCATTATAAAACAAAGATGGTAAAAGTGTTGTAGGCTGTTTAGCTTTTATAAATTTTAAATATTGTCATATGGATGGTGCCATATTATTTATGCTGCAAGGCAAACTGGGTAAATAATGACACATTCTGGTGWGAGCTCTTATCCACCCTGAAGGTTAATCTAAGACAATATCTGATGATCACCCTATTTAAATTAAACCAAAGAGCCTTGCCAGAGATGTGGTGATATAGTGTTATCGCCCGAGCTAAAACATATATGATAATATAGCATCAGCTCACAAGCTAACACATTTATTTATGGCGACACAGAGTTAGCGTCTAAGCTAATACATACATATATGGCTTATAGGCTGTCTCAATTCATGGGATGCAGCTGACGTAGACCTCACCCCACGTTTTCTATAGTCTACATGGGCCTTCACCCGCTTCGGATGTTATCATCCATGAAATGGATGTTAATAGGCCATTATCAGTCCCTAGAATAGCTTTAGAAAGTCCCGCCTGTGCCGCTTAGCAGGTTCCCCGTCCCATAGAATGGCTTCCGATTGTCAGCTGGTTAATATGAGGCATAAAACCACTAAGGTTAACTTTAGAGCAAATGACATGGTTAGCACTAACCTCCGACGACTATATATTGTGGCCCTCCAGTCGGGCAATGGGTAGAGTGTTGGATAAGAGAGTAGGAGACCAGGAGACCAGTGCTTGAAACCCACACAGACACAACAAATTTATTACAATATATTTTGGTTATTTACACGTTCATTGTCATTGAAATATTAACCCACTAGAGGGCACTGTTGGGACAGTCTGAAGCCTAGAAGGCACAGTAGGGACCCTCTGAAGCCATTGTATGGGACTGATAACGCCTAATGACGTCAATTTCATGGACTGATAACATCAGAATCCCCTGCCTTAGGCCACTTGTGTCGGCTGCATAAACRGCTGTGAAATGAGATGGTTTAGTTTACAGAGGTGTGTTTGTGTGACCACACACTGCCCCGTTATCATGGTGAAACGTTTTATATCACATCACTTCAGTTGTTTTTTCCAAGGTTTAACTTCATAAAATTCTGTTTGAATAGAAAAACGTTACAAATAAATTAAAAGCATTAATGTGGGTTTATCTCCAGTATCAGTACTTGTAGCTGCATTTGATTGCAACAAAACTTTCTTCAGCTACGTAAGTTGCTAAACTTTTGTTCTTCAGTCCGTAATAAAGTTTCAAAGTCAGTCATAAAAAAAAAAAAATAACAAAGCTCAGCTTTCATTGTTCTTCTGTTTAATTTGCCGATGGTGCAATTAATTCCAGGATATCGTCGGCTGCGTAGGATGGTAAGATGCAGCCTACGTTTTTGGGTTTTGACAGCGCGGGGCAGTGACGTAAGCAGCCGACAAATGTGGCCGACGTCAGCTGCAAACCATGAATAGAGACACAGCCATAGAGTTAGTGCCTGAACTAATACATATATATATAATGACATAGCATTAGCGCCCAAGCTAACATATGTACAATAATATATTCACACGTTTATTTTTAGTGTTAGCGCTATATTGCCATTTACAGTACATGTGTATGTATTAACATGGACGCTAATGCAAAAAGCTAAAAGTTTATGCTAACATGGAGCAGCTCTTGTCCACTAACAGTTTATCAACGCGCTCTGGTTTCATTCTAAACTTCTGATCATCAGAATTTGTCCAAGATCAACTGTCAGGATGGACAGAGCTCACCACGGAGCACCCAGGAAGTGTCATCATTTACCTGCTTTGTGTCGTAAATAACATGGCAACAATTTTGTGACAATGTGTTTTTTAACATTTATAAAAACTAATCAGTATTTTTACAGTAAATCTTTATGAAATAATATCTAATGTTACAAATAGTCAGGGTTACTTTCAACCTTTTTGTTGTTAACCAGAATGAAAAATTTTATTTGATTGTGAACATTTTGGGCCTAAAATTAGGATCCAGCAGTCTGTGCAGCCCTGCCTGTCCTGAACATGTTTGATTTATAAGTTTTAATGTTTTAACTTTTCTTTGATAACAGAATCGGTGCATCAGTTAAACCACCACAAGGCTTTAATTACTGAGAAAAACTCATATTTATGGTTTTATCTCTTTTCCTGACGAACTGCATCACGAGACCAGAGAGAAATCTGAGCTACGTTGTGTAAAATGTAGATAAAAACATGATGCTGACCTGTATTTTATTCACAGTGGAACATAGAAAACACATCAGTGTTTAAACTGTGAATTAAATACAGGTTTTTATGAGTTGGTTTTTATTTCCATTTTATACAAAGTGTCTATTTAGCAAAATTCAGCTCCAGAAGACAAAAACCAGTGTGGTAAAAGATGATTAAAGGTGATTTATGTGACTATATTTATATATGATCTAATTAGAGTGTAAATCTGTGTAAATAAGACTTAATGTGCTTTAATGGACCTGATGTCATTTATATCAAACTGAGGATTTTAAAAGCCATCTTTTAATGGAAGTGTTCCAGTTCTACAAACTGGACATTTAAAGCTGAAACTTCAGCCACATACATCCTGTCAGACATTTTAACTCTACTTCCTGGTTGTAGGAATGATCAKTAGTTTAACTTTGAAAAATTAAGCCTTTTTTAAAATGTTATTTCTGATAAAAAGCTTCACCATAAAGGAAACTTAGTCGCAGCAGCTCTTTAATTTAATCTTTTTTTCTGTTGTTTTAGTTTAGGATGGATTCTGCTGCAACCACCTCATATAAAACCTTTATTTCAACCAGTTAAACTGTTAGCGTGTAACTGTGAGGTTGTGGCGAGAACTGGTCCAGGCTGCAGGTAAATATCTTCAAAATGCAAAAAGACTTTAAAGGAAAAGTCTGGAAAGGCAGCTCTAAACCAGAAACCTGTCAGGAAAAAAAAACCCTGGGGAGGAAACATGAGGATCAGGTGTGCCTGGGAGGGAAACACACACACACAGGTATACACAGGGAAACAGAAACACTAGAAAAACTAACACAAACACAGACCATGACATGAAATTATCAAGCTGTCAACATGATTACATCACTGTTCTTCAGATGACTTTTATTCTGACTTTTATTATTTTTTACACCAGAGTAAAACGTGCTCCTCTCTAGTCTCACCTGCTCCCCACGTTCACGACAACAGAATAAGACCAAAAATAATTAATTATCACCAAATTTACCATTAAAATATGTATATAATTAAATAATTTAATGAATCTGAAACAAACCCAGATAATAAAGTATTTACAGCAGAAGCTGCAGTCAGCAGCAGTAAACATTTTAGATTTCATTCATCATCATCATCATCATCATCATCATCATCATCAGTCACCTGAGCCACAGACTGTCTGTACCTGCTGACCCTGACTCCTCAGCTCCTGCACCACCTGAAGATGGATGAAACGTCAGGTTTATTTATTACCTGTTGAAGTCAGAAAACATCACAGCTGCACTCAAATGAGTTCAGAAACAATAATCAGTGTTTTTATAAAAATTACTGTATTGACAAAAAAAGACACTGTGTGTGTGTGTGTGTGTGTGTGTGTGTGTGTGTGTGTGTGTGTGTGTGTGTGTGTGTGTGT